TTATTATTTTCACATTTTGCTTTACTATAAGAAGGTCAGCATTGTACTTAAGAGCATGGGTCTAGAGCTGCATAGGCTATGTTCAAATTCCAGCTCTGCTCTTCACACATAGAGAACACTGGCAAGATACAACTGCTGAGTCACACTGACCTCATACCACAAAACTAGGAATAATAAAATATCTGATTCAATACATACAAATACATGCAAACATTTCCAAAGCACCTGGCCTCTAAAAAGCCATAAAAAAGATATTACTATAAAATAATTATCATACTAATGACAATAATGTTGCCAAAATAATTTAATTTTCATTGTCATCAATGAAATCAAGGAAAATAAGCAAAATTACAACTATATTTTAGAAATGATACCTATGAGATATATAGATTTAGAGCTTCAATCTAAGCTTCAAAAGTCTTAGGTACCAAGTAGAAGGATCTAGAACCAGACAGGTTTAGGTTCAAACCTTGGCTTTGCTAATTTATGTCTCTTGGGAGAGATTTGTTTAATTTGCTGAGCTTCCTTGTTTTCATCTGAATTTGGCAGAAGACTTCGAGCTACCCATGTAAAGCCCTCAGATGACTGCAAGGCACACACTGCTCTCACATGCAGAGAATGACCATCGTGAGGAAAAAGCCATAAATCACAGTCCATGTGTCTTAGAAGATAGTTCCATCAAGGGATAGAGCAGCGCTTCATGTCATAACATATCTAAAAAATTGAAACTCCAACATAATGATATCCATGATGGCTGTTAGAAATGAAATATGGTTCTTGCCCTTGAGATGCTTAGAGTTTAGCTGGGAAGTTATACTTAACAATTTAAACCAATGAGGGGACAATTTAGTGGTAGAATACTGTTACATCTTTAGTTCAAAAGAGAAAAGATGAGATGTCTTAGACAAGAAGAAAGAATTTACTGGAAGAAGGTAAATGTAAGATACATTTTGAAGAGTATCTGAGGTAAAAATTCAGCAAATACCAGGGAACAGGCACAAAAGGTCATCTGTGAGACCACTCACATTTAGGTATTGACACCACAGACTTAGAATGGGTTTAGTAATTTCATTGATAGGGTATTTCAATGAGGTCCTTTTTGATGTTTGAAGGATGAAAAGCCAGGAAATGTGCATCACCAATTGCAAAAGCTTCTGACTGAATTACACAAACGCACTGATGCGTACGAGCTGAAGATTGCCAACAGGCTTTATGGAGAAAAGACTTATCAATTCCTTGAGGTAAATTTCACCTGAACTACCAAAACTTTCATCTGCATCCTGGGTCCTACGCGTCTGAAAGGTATAATGTGGCAGGGTGAGGAAGATGAGTCTGGTCCTCTCAGGTGGGGAGCATTCACTCAGGGTTCATCAGCTCCAACACCACAACTCCACCCAAGATTCTGATAATGCACGAGAAAAGTGTGGTTTTAGCGGTAATCTGATAAGAAAACAGGAGGTGTGGTAGCTCAATGATTCATGAAATGCCAGTAATATAGAGCACATGTTGGTAGAAAATGTAAGGCAAATGGGATATTACTGGAGTGGGCAGGCTTGGGTGAGTCCCTGGGGACAGCTGGGGAAGTACTAGGAGATACTGAATGCCTGAGGAAGACACAAAGGTGAGAAATGTCTTGGTTGGAATACTGAAAAGAAGCATCAGAAAAAATTCACCTACATCAGAACAACATGCTTTGGAGCCTGCCAACCATAGCCTTTTCTGCCCAACGTTTGCCAGATGGATTTGACCTGCAGTTACCTCCGTCTTGAGCCAGCCTGCACCCCTTTCTCATGGACTAGGTGGCAGCTGCACAAAAATAGGCTTGGGCAGGAGATAGTGGATGTGTTCAGGGTCTGAACTCAGCTTACTGTAATTATAAATAATTAAGTTTAGTAACAGTAATACATTGCTGCTGATATCTTACCATTAATTCCTCTTTTATTCTTTCCCATCTCAAAGCAATATTTAGATAATGTTAAGGAATTTTTCCTGGCCCATGCAGAATCTGTTGATTTTCAAAATGCTGCAGAAGAAAGTGAAAAGAAGATTAACTCCTGGGTGGAAACTCAAACAAATGGTAAGAGGACTGCCCGTTATAGGAACACTTTTGAGTCTCCTGTGTGAGTGAGCCCTATGCTTGACACTCCATGGGTTTATGAGGGTGGGGGTGGAAATGCATTTGCAGAGAGGGAGCAGGAGAACTCTGCAGAAGATGAAATGGTCCACATTAATTGGGAAAGCCAAGGGGAAATCCCATGGGAGGGATTCACAGGAACCCAAGTATGCAGAAACACAGCTGGAGAACTCTGCACATGACCCACATGACCCACATGACTGGATCTTTGCAGATCCCAAGTCTCTGCACAGGCCCATTTCAAGATCATATCTTTTTCTTTAAGTCAGAGCCAATTTTTTAATATGGATCTTTAAGAGAAAACATTACAAAGGGTCCCTTCTCCTTCACTAACTGGGAAATGTGCAGCCCTCCCGTAAGCAACACTTTTAACCTCTCGAGCTAGAGCTTCAGGGACCACACCTACACTCACATAGTCTGCAGGGATTGTCACAACTGTTTTTCTCATGCATGGTAGACAGCTTACCAAAGATTTCATTCTATGAACATCCCTCCTACCTCCCAACTGTCATTACAGGACAAATATCCAGCAATTCAACATGGGAATGAACGGAAAAACACCCCAAGAAGTAGCGTCTCACAGCACAGGGCATGCATTTCAGACCATAGAGTTCATATTTGTCCTAAAGAACAATCCAGTCCTACTCCTTTGTGAGTGAGCCCAAAGTTGACAAAAATAGGAAGACAGGAAGGCAGGGAGAGATGAACTCTTAATAGATAAGTTGAAAGAGCAAATAAAATCAGTTTATCAGTATTCAGTGTAGATAACTGAACTCACCCATAGACAGAGAACCTGCACCCCTTTCCCATCACAAGGAGTGGTATCTCCTACAGGGCTAACTCTATGGGGCAGCAGCCATGAGCACAGCTGAGTCTGGTGAAGTCTTGGTCAGTGAGTTTCTAAAGTAGTGACTTGGTGAATAATTACTGATCAGTCACATCCTTTTGCAAAGCATCTTATAGACAAACCACTTGTACCTTGCATGACAGATGTTTTTGTTTCCTTTCCTTGCAGGAAAAATCAAAAACCTATTTCCTAAGAAGACTCTTAACAGCGCCACCATCCTTGTTCTTGTCAATGCAGTCTATTTCAAAGGGCAATGGGAGAAGAAATTTAATAAAGAATATACTAAAGAGGGAAAATTTTGGCTGAACAAGGTATTGCCTATATTTTATTTATATAATGTAATGTAGTCATACAGGGGATGTTAATTTTTTTATTTCAGAAAATTATGGAGGTACAAATATCTTGGTGTCAAGTAATGCCCTTGCCTCACTCAAGCCAGGTCTAGAGATGTGCCCTTCCCCCAGACACTGTGCTCTATCTCCACCACCCACCCACACCACCCCACCTGACTATAATATCCAGTGAATATTACTACCACATATAAGCACCTTAATGTGGATACTTAGTACAATTTGATGGCAAGTACATGTGGTGCTTATTTTTTCGTGTTTTGATACTCACTTCGAGGGACTGGCTCAAGTTCTATCCAGATTTTTATAAGGGGGTGCTATCACCATTGTTTTTTGTAGTTGAGAGCATTCCATAGTATACACTGTCCCATTTTATTAATCCACTTATTGTCAAATTCCTCAACACATTTGATGGGAATGTACCATGGCAAAAGGTAAAACATTTTCATTCGTTATACGTATTTTAGCTACGAATACCTGGAAGAAACTCTTTTCTCCTATTCACAAATTCTGCCTTATTTCCTAAAAGGAGAAAGATGTGTGGTAAACTCAATTCTATTATCCTTGGGTTATGTCTCACTTGGTATTTGTTTGGCCATTAATTTATTTCAGTGGCCACCAGCAATCTGATACAAAATGATGAATCAAAGAAAATCCTTTAATTTTGCCTTGCTGGAGGATGTGCAGGCTAAAGTTCTGGAAATACCATACAAAGGCGAAGACCTAAGCATGATTGTGCTACTGCCAAATGAAATAGATGGTCTGCAGAAGGTAAAATCTTGCATGCACAATCCTTCTATTGCCCGATTTTCAAGTACCAAGTCTAAACAAGGCTAAAGATTTTAGACAAAGGAGCCTCAACTAATGAAGGATTAAAACTGAGGAACAATGATTCACTTTTCTCTTACACCTCTATTAACATAAGACATGATACAAACAGAAGGCTTAAGCAATTATTAATTAACGACAGTTATATACAGTGGATCTCAATTTGATGGTAGTATTATGCAACAATTTACAATTAATTGAGAGAAATGTATAGTATTGTGGGAAAAATTTACAAATCCATAAAGCAAAAAAGGAATTATAATAGTGTAGATGCTGTAGTTGCAGTATGTGGCAAGTAATGTATACAAGAAAGGAAGAGTGTTACAATTTGACATGTTTCGGAAGTTGTCGGCATAAGAAATAGTGAAATAGAGTTCATTTAGTACAAACTGAAATAATGATTCTGTTTTTACATATAAATACATACATACATACATATATACTTACACATAAATAATCAAATGTACTTACATAATCAACACTGTTATTTTTCTTATTAGAATATCTAATAAACTAGACCTTTTGTATTTTTATTTATTGCTAAAATAAAAACTTTATACATATTCATTCTCTGTTAAGCTGTGTTAGAGGTCTGTAGTTAACCATATCAGTTTCTTTTTATCATTTTTATAGCTTGAAGATAAACTCACTGCTGAGAAATTGATAGAATGGACAAGCTCACAGAATATGAGCAAGAGAGATGTGGATCTATACTTACCTCGGTTCAAGCTGGAAGAGAGCTACGACCTCAAGGACGTGTTGATGGCCATGGGGATGGTGGACGTTTTCTCTCCACAGGATGCTGACCTCTCAGGCATGACTGGGAGGCGGGGTCTTGTAGTCAGTAAAGTCCTACACAAGGCATTTGTAGAGGTCACAGAGGAGGGAGCAGAGGCTGCTGCTGCCACTGGCATAGTTACCGGCTTTACATCTACTCGTTATTCAATTTATGAAGAGTTCCATTGTAATCACCCATTCCTATTCTTCATCAAGCAAAATAAGACCAACAGCATCCTCTTCTTTGGAAGAGTCTCTTCCCCTTAGATGTGATTGGCCTGTAACTTTTATTAGATGTTCACAGAATTGTTCCAGTAAACTTATTGCTGGAAACAATAGGTTGTCTTGATTCATTTTTCTTTTCAATCTCATAGTCATCACCAAGAATTTAATGGTTGAAATAACATGTCTCTCTATCTCTCTCTTTCTAAACACATATATAAATCTACTTTTTCTCCAGTAAAAATTTCCTTGGAAAAAAATGTCCAACTTCAAGGTAATATAAAAGATTATTTCAATACAATATCTTCTAAATTTGAAATATAATTGTTTGCAACCTAGTTTAACAAGCCAAACCAAATCTTACTTTCTCCTCAAACTCATTAACCTAGACACCCACAGTTCTTTGAATTTAGGTGATATCTGGAACCCTTCTTATGTATCTAAATTTTATGATTCTATAAAATACACTATCAATAAAATAATTACTTCAATTAGTTTTTGTTTGACCTTTTGTCTTTCCATAAAATGCAAGCAGCCAATCACACATAGAAAAGATAATTTCAAAGATATTAATCATACAGGCAGAAACATTTTAAACTAGAATAGGGCATGATGAGTCTAGAGTGGTAGACAGATGCTAGAACATAAAGAGCCTGTAAACCACATTAACAACTTTCTGTTTTATTCTGAAGGGAATAGGAAGCTCATTACAGGTTTTGATTATTTGTTTCTCTAAGAATGAAATAAAATCATTGTATCTGTATCTGGAAGATCCAGTTCTGACTACTCTGATATAAATGGATGAGAATAAAGGACACTGTGGTTATTGTGACATACATTAGGAAACCATTAGAGTGGTGGTAGTGGAGATGGAGAGAATGAAACACCTCGTGAGAATTATTTAGGAATGAACGGACACAGAATTATGGCAACTGCTTAGATATAGGGAAGTGAAGAGAAGCTAAGAAAGACACCCAAGTTTCTGAGCTAGCCAGCTAGATTTTGTTCTGGGGAGAAGAGAGGATCATGGGTTAAAATTAGAATTGAATTTGAGGCTCTTTTAAGATCCAAATAGATTTGTCTGGCAGGCACATGAAAATATTAGTGTAGGACTCAGAAACAGTATATGTTCAGAAGCTCTAAATAGTGATGTTCAATATAAAATTGCTGAGCTACTGGCATAAATATGGTAACTATACCTAAAGGCAAAGATGAGATCCCAGGGAGAAAGGTTAAATTCAGAAGAAAGGAGGGTCTAGAACTGACCTTTAAGTATACCAATATGCAAAGACAAGAACTGAAAAATTTTATTTTCTAGAAGGTAGCTTTATTCATGGATCTATGTTTATCCCAGATTCCTCCCAGTGATTACTAAATCCCAGCTGATTTCAAAAAATAGAAATTTAAAGGATTTGACCAAGGTCAAATTTTCCTCAGTAAATTTTCCTTCTGCATCTTTAATTAGCTTCTATTTCTTTGTCCCTTAAAGTGTATTTTGCAACGTAATTTATGGTTGCTGCTTATTTTGCTTCTAGGCCCTGTTTGGTTTCAAGAGCCTATGATTCCTGAACCAAGAGCTATCTGATTACCTGCTTCTCACAGATTATAGTCTCAGCCCATAGACCTGGAACATAAATACTGTGCTATTAACCATGCAAGAGAATCTATCTATAAAGCATTGAATCATGAGATTCTGTAACTGTCCCAGGTACAAAATGTCAGAAGACTGGTCTGTTGCCTAACTGGCTACTTCACAGGGAAGAAACAAACTAGAATTTCTTCTTCCAATTACACAGCACAATGAATAGAGACAAGATGACAGCACTTGTAGTTCATGTTTGCTAAACTTATTAAAAGAACAGAGGCTCACAGAATCGCCGACACTTGCTCATGGGGGTCTAACAGTGCAAAGAGTGCTAAGGCTCTGAGATTCACTGTGTTTGAACAATGGTCCCAGACCTCCTGTGCAGCTTCACAGAGAACCAATGTTGGTATTTTGCACATTGAACCTAAACACATTTGATGTTTTGGCCTCTCAAGTTACTTACTCACATTACTTAATGGGTATTTATTGGAAGATAATGCCAAATAAGTGGCTGAGCAACATAAGAATAGAATCTGTCTCATTTTACTTTTTATCTTTTATGGAACCTAGGAAAATCCTGGCACAAAGTAAGCATACAAAACATACTTGAAGAAGTAGTGATGATGAACCAAATGAACAAATACATAGTGAATGAACAAATGATCAGATTGTGGCTCTGGTGTAAGCAGATATAGCCAAAGTGGTCTGTATGTCCTGTCTTCTCCAAACATATTTCCTCCACTGCTGAGAGAAATTCCTAGAGGAAACCTGGCCTATCACCCTTAGTGAAGAGTAAAAAGGATGGATTTCGGTTTATATACATGGGAGCTGAGGGGACCCCAAATTGCTCATCAGACAGAAGGAAGAAAGGAAGCTTAGAATTATCCTAATGAGATATGTTGGTGAGGGACTGAGTTAGGACTGGAACTAGTTAGTATTCAGTCTCCACCTTGACCACTAGAGGTCTTTACCTTGTAACCTGAATCCATCTTTCCTTTAAAGGCTGCCTGTGTCCAAACATACAAACCTGTGAAAGTCTGGGGGCATCTTTTCTACTATAGAACGTTTACATACTGAAAAGAAAAAAAGGAACCCTCCTATACTACTATATATTTTATTGTTTTATTTCATCATATTATGAAGGTACAAATGTTAAGGTTAGGTATATTGCCCTTGTCTCCCCTCCCCCTCGAGTCAGAGCTTCAAGCTTGACCATCCCCCAACAGTGCACTCCTAAATTCATTATGAATACCCATTCCTCCTCAAACTTTGCACCCGCCTACACCCAATAAATAATATTATTATTTTGATATATATATTATTATTAAATTAATATATTAATATTGATTCATTAATAATATATTATTATATAATATATTAATATATATCAATAATATATTGTTATATATTAAAAATAATATATATTATATTATATTAATAATATATATAATTAAATATTATAATTATATATTTATATATAATAAATATATAATATATTTAATAAAGTTATATATAAGTAATATAATATAAATTATATATACATTATCAAATATATAATATATATCAATATATTCACTTAGTATTGATCATTAATGCCAATTTTGCTGGTGAGTACATGATGATTTGCTTGTTTTCCAATGCTTCAGGGGATAATCTCACTTAGAGAAGGGTTCCAGCTGACCAAGAAACATACAATGCTATTATCACCTATTGTACTAAAGCAGAATAGTATCATGGACATATATACCAATTTTATTAATGCATGCATGTATATGATGCACTTGGTTGTTTCCACAGCTTGTAATATGTGAATTGGTGCTGCAAAACATTCAGTGCAGTGTCTTTCATAAAGTGACTTTTAGATTTTGGTAGATTGCCATAACGATTCTGATCAAATGGTAGATCTATTTATATTGCTTAGGGTATCCTCCATATGCTTTCTATACGAGGTTGAACTAGTTTGCAGTCCCACCAGAAGAAGATGTTCTATCCTCTCCACGTCCAACCACATCTATTTTTGGGACTTTTTGGAGATTTAACTGGAAATCAGTGATACGCATTGCAGTTTTGATTTCATTTTTTTCTGATGATTAGAGACGTTGAGCATTTTCATATGTCGTTGTTTGCCATTATTCTGTTTCTTTTGAGAAATTTCGTTCATGCCCTCCTGCCACTTTTTGAAGGGTTCGTTTCATTGTTCCTTACCATTTTTCTGATCTAATAAGATTCTAGTTATCATCCTTATCCAGATGTTGTAGGATCAAAAGTCTTCTCCCATTCCGTAGTTGGCTGTTTGCTCTTGTGACCTATTTCTGTGCTGTGCAAGAAGCTTTTTACTGACCAGGCCATTAATTCTGCTGCTGTGATTGCCTTTGGTCTTCTCATGAAATTATTTGCCTAGGCCAAAATCAGAAAATATTCCCAATTTATCCTCGAGAATTCTAATAGTTTCATCCTTAAGGTAAAGTCTGTTACCTAGCGTGAATATCTTTGTGAGAGATGAAAGATTGTGTCCTGCTTCAGCCTCACATGGTGGCATCCAGTTTCCCACATATCTATTGAATAAGGATTTTTTTCCCCAATATGTTTTTGTCTGCTTTCTCCAAGATTAATGGCTATATAGAGGTTTTATATCTGGTCTCTGTTCGTTGCAGCTGTAATTTCCCTATTTTTTGTGCCAATATTGAACTAGTTAATAACTACAGCGTGTGTATGTATAGTTTGAAATCGGCAAATTGAATGACCCTCCCATTTATGTTTTATTCCTAGAATTGCTTTTTGATTTAGGGGTCTTCTTAGTCATATGAAGCTTAAAAAAAATTTTTCTATATTCGTCAAAAAATGTTGGATTTTGATAGGGATTGCATTGGATCTGTAATCCACTTTTGGATAAAGACATTTTTAACAATGTTAGTCTGCAGACCCAGGAGCTACAGTATGGATTTCCATTTTGTTATGTCCTCTGCTATTTCCTCCTCCAGGTTTTCACAATTTTCACTGCAGAGCTCTTTTACCATTTGTTAAGTATATTCTAAGGTACTTTATTTCAAATGTTGTCTATTGTGAAGGGTATGATCTTTGATTGAAAAAGGAAGAACAACACCCCAAACTCCAGCAGAACAAATGAAATTACAAATCAAATCAGAAACTAAATGAAATTCAACAAGTATACATGAAATTAATAAAACAAGTTGATTTCTTCGAAAAATAAACAAAATTGATACACTTTGGCTAACAATGAAAGTAGAAACAGAAATCTTAATAAGCCTCCATCAGGACAAAAATGGAATATTACAACTGAGCCACGACTACTAACATAAATCTATAATATCACAAAAACCTTATATTTGATTTTTTTTAAGTGAAGAGAAGACTTCCCCATTCCAGAATAAAGATGGGTTGAGACTGTTTCTTTGATCCTCCCTGCTAAGGCAAACAGAAGCCCCAAACTACACCAGAGACAAAGCAATGGAATTATTCGAAACTGATGAGAAAAAAATCTTTTTTAATTTTCTTGATTTGTGCCACCAGGACTGGAATGACACTACACAGCTAGCCAAGTGATAACAGCCCATCACTCAATAGAAAAAGACCTGGATCCTGCACTTCTTGGCAACCCAGGAAGCTCATTCGTTCCCTGGTTTAAATAGGAGATTACCACAGGACAAGGAAGCTCTGGAATCCTGACAGCCCAGGGAACGTTTCCTCTTCCTGAACTCATCTGCCACTCTGAAGAGTACCCAGGTGACAGGTATGCAACCAGCAGGGAGGATCCAGGTGAGACTAAAACATTCAACGCTCGCATATTGAAATTTAAAATTAAAGCTCTGTGAAAACCCAGCAAGTAAAAAGATCATCTGAATTCGTGCTGTATCTTAAAAGCAGAAGTGAAATTCCCATTGAAGAGGT